CGTTCCTTAGTGGCTGTTTCTGCAAGATGCTGGGAAGGCAAAATCCAACCGAGCCCGCAGGTAGATTTTTGAAGCTCTGGAAGGAGCCGCAGTAAGTCAGGTGGCATCTCCTTCTTCAGCACTTATCTACTGCAGTGAAAGAGTCAGCATCTCGCCTGACGGACCTGCTGTGCTCAAAGGGAGCAGACACCTTCACCTAGGTTAGTGGTTCTCAAAGTGCGGTCCCTGGACCACTAGTGGTCCATGGCCACCTCCCAGGTGATCATTTTTGAAGCTCTGGAAGGAGCCGCAGTAAGTCAGGTGGCATCTCCTTCTTCAGCACTTATCTACTGCAGTGAAAGAGTCAGCATCTCGCCTGACGGACCTGCTGTGCTCAAAGGGAGCAGACACCTTCACCTAGGTTAGTGGTTCTCAAAGTGCGGTCCCTGGACCACTAGTGGTCCATGGCCACCTCCCAGGTGATCTGTGGTTTGAGACCAGCCCCCGCTCCAAAAAAGGTCCCCTGCCCCTGCCACAAATAAAGGAAACATTAGATCCTTTTTTGTTGGACATAAATTAATAGTTTACTTAATTAAAATGAAGATGGATAAACTAACATGAGACAGTTCATCTGTTTAATAATTTAAACTAAACCATTCTCCCTAGCTGCAGCACTAGCAAAATGGCTCAGGCATAATTATGTAATTAACGGTCACTTTCCATTAGCAACTGGTGGTCCTCGGAAAGATTTGCATTGGGCCTGGTGGTCCATGGGCAAAAGGTTTGAGAACCGATGACCTAGGTGAGGCTAAGGAGAACCTGCCTCCTTAGCATTCTCGCTGGTTCCCATTAGACTCACAAGAGATGAGTGCAATCGGCTTGGGATATTGAGCTTTAAAAACACGTCCTTGTGATGGACCATCTCCCCTTCCACCCTCAAACCTGATTTAATGGCTGCTCTGCAGAAACACTCGCTGGTCTCGGTAGCACCCAGGTGGCGTGCTAAGGAAGAGGCATGGCAGAGGGCCCTGTCATGGGGGACAGGAAAAGCCAGCTAGTAAGTCGACCAGGTGCTGAGCATGCAAGAAGCAGCAAACCAACAGCCAGAGTCTGTTTTTCCCCCCCTCCCTCCCCCCCAGCTCAGGAGCAAGAGTCTGTTCCCCCGCCCCCCTCACCCCCAGTGCATGGGGAAAAAAATCTCCCTCTGACGGAGCAGACAGCCTCAGTGCTTGTGGCGAGCCGTGAGGGTGGAAAATGACACACGCTACCGAGCAGAGAAGCTGCTTAGCTTGTGGGGGCGGGTAGGAACCAGAGAGAGAAGATCTAAGATCCCATAGAATCCCTCTGCAGAAAGCCAGCAATGGCTTATTGCTGGGGAAAAATTACTTTGCCAAGATCACACAGGAAACTGGTGGCAAAACTGAGGCTAGCACGTGAGGCTATGTCTATGCTGCCTTTTTTTTTTTTTTTTTCAGCAGAAGATATGCAAATCACGCTCTCATTTGCATATTGTAGTAGGATGAGGGCATGAGACATTGCTCTCCTCTTACTACACATATCTTCTGCCGATCCGTTTTGCGGAAGAGGTTTTGCTGCTAAAAAGCCCCGTGTAGACGGGGCTATTTGTTAGAAAAAACCCTTCTGCGCAAGACCCCTTATTCCTCAAAAAATGAGGTTTACAGGCTCTCACGCAAAAGGGTTTTTTTTTTTTTTTTTTTTTTTTAAAAACAACCCCTTCATTCAGCTAACACAGTCATTAAAATACATAACTTTACGATATGTGCTCATGAGAAAATAAAAGAGCATTTTAAGCCTTTCTACATTCAAACTGGAAAAGTTAAATGACATGCCCAACTTTCTATTAACTCCCAATGCCCCCTTGCTCTAACCACTGGACAACACTATCCTTGGTGCGCTGGATATGATACTCTAAGCTCCTTCCTCCCATCTACTCCCATGTGCCCTGCTCAAGCCTGGAGAAAGGAATCAGGGATTCTGCCTTGCAGAACTTGGCTGAATCCGCTCCAGAGCAGCTTTGACAGGTGACCGACAGCACGTTTTCAGTCGATGCTGCTTGATTTCTGGGCAGCTTTTCTAATCAATGTGTGGTGCAGCTTGGGAACAGCTCGTCGCTCGGCCATTGCTAACACCCAAAAATACCCTAGAGGAGCAGCGTTCAATGACCCTTTTTAACGTGTGCATGCTCTCTCTCTCTCTCTCTCTCTGTCTGCAGACAGGTGCTGTTCAAGAGATGAGATCCAAAGGCGGACGGGAGAGGCAGTGGAGTAGCTCCAGAGTCTTGTAGCTCTATGCACAGAGTGTGAGTACCTGGGTCTCTTTGTGAACTTCGGAAGAGGAAATTTCCCCTCCGGCGGGACACTGCACAGAACATTCTGTCTCCGTCAGTTCATCTGATTGGGTCCAGGAGTCAAATCGGACAGATCCCTGCTCAGTTTGCTGCTAGGAGGCTTGACGCAGGGATCTGGGAAGAGTCACATGAGGGGTGTGGTTGAGTCCTGAATCTCACGGAAATCCCAGCCTTGGAAACTCTTGGGTCAAGACTTTCCAAAGAGTCCCGAGATCTTCGGCACCTTAATTGTTGGCTGTCCTATTGAAGGCAGTCTGTGGGGATGTCTGGTGCCCTGGTCCATGGGACCCGGGCTTGTGAACTCATCGCTTCCAAGCCTGAGATGGAGTGTCCACACTGCATTATAAATCTAGGCTTACAAATGGACCCAGGTCTTGCAGACATGCTCCCTTGTCCATACTGCGTCTCGCAGGTCCGCTGTCTGAGCTGTGCCCACGCTGCACAGCGACCGGGCTGCGACCTGAGTCCCAGTGGGGCTCTGGCTCTAACCCAGAGTCCTAGGACCTGGCCCTGTGTGCTTGCTGACCCAAATCAGGATCTTTCCCCTCTCCCCTCCCATGTCTGCACCTGATCACTTCATGTGGTTGCCCCAGCAACTCGATCTGCAGCTGAACAGAGAGAACCCAGCCCTACAAATCACTCTGATCGTAATAGAAAGCTGCGGGGAAAACAAAACACTGAACTCTTTGCCACCTTCTGAGCCCCTTTCTCACTGGGGGGTGAAATTCATCCCTCTGCTGAAAATCACCACAAGGCCCAGGCTAGAGATGTGAGTAGTCAAGTGGAGTACTCAACTATTCATTCCCTCCCCCTCTCCCTCTCCCTCTCCCCGCTTGCTGCCTCTGTATGAGAGGCAGCAAGGGGGAGGGGGGAAACAGGAGCTGGTGCTGGGGGGAGGCGGCTTAAAAGATGGTTTCTCTCCCTCCCCCTCCCCCCCCAGTACTGTCTCTGCAGTACCACCTGTCCCCTTCCCTTCCCCCCTCTCCCATGCCTCTATCAGATGCGGGGGGGGGGAATAGGGGAGGCTTCTCCACCCTTCTTTTCCCATCCTGTCCCCACTCCCAGACAGGGGCTGCTACCACGAAGCAGCCCCTGTTTGTGCCAGGCTGGGCTGGCCACAGATAGGGGCTGCGCTGGCACGGGGGCTGCTGGACCCGGCACGAGCCGGTCCGGGATGCTGCACCTCTGCATTTTAAATCTAGTAAGAGCCTGGCAGCCCTTACTACATTTAAAATGCAGAGCCGCAGTACGGCTATCGACTATCGACTAATCGTGTCGCCGATACAATTTGTATCAGATCACCGCATTTTTACATCCTTCGCCCAGGAACAAATTTTGGAAGAAGAAATCTCGCCCCCCCCCGCCCTTCTCCCCCATCTCCCCTCCACCTTCCAATGGCATTACAGGCAGATCTATCTTAGACATCTGTGCCAGCCTGCCCACAGACATCTGTGCCAGTCTAGTCTCTCATGCTCCCTCTCCTTTCTTACATGCTTTGAGCAGTGAAATAGTGAATGATAGTGCCATCTGGAGACTTTTCCTTGGCATCTGAGTTAGCACCAGCTCAGACAAATTAGGCAGCTTGCACTTCTGGGCAACCCCTTCCAGGCTCTTTGCCAACTCAGGCAGACAGAGAGTCTGGTCCCCTTTTGAAGGTCGGCTTCCCACGCGAAAGTGCTAGAGATGTACGTCTTGGGGATGTTAAACCACTTAACCAGGAAGCCTCACCCTTAACAGATGAGACTTACCGGCTCCGGTTAACCAGTAGGGGCTGAAGACGCTCCCCACCAGCCACAGGCAGGGGGGGGGTCCCCGCCCTCCGGGGCCCACACACGGACGGGAGCAGCCCCCCCCCCATTTTGCCCCCCCCCCCCCCCCCGATTGGTTAAACATAATATTTCACCGTTTAACCAATGAACTGGGATTTTACATCCCGAATACGTCTTTAAAAGCTGACACTGTCCCGGATGACTGTCCATGGCCCCTGGCTAGTCCTGCCCATTTGCACCCACTGCCAAAGTAGCTCAGACTCCGGACAAGATTGGGTTAAGTGACACACAAGCCCTTGTGCTGACCTTCTGCACCGGGAGGAAATTCGCCTAATTCTAGCAAGTCACTGTGTCTCAGTGCCATGCAGAGCAAGTTTTAACCTGTGCTTTAATCTCTTCCACTTTGCAGGTCCCAGGCTATGTCAGAGCCCACACTTGAATTGCCTGCGTGCCAGTCAGGCGGAAATACAAATATTTAGCGCTTTATTCACTCGATAACTTATGCAAACTGATCCCAAACGTCATGATTTTTTTTTTTACGTGTTTCCTCAGCATCTAATAAGTTTCACCAAAAGTGCAATGTGGGTTATTTTTTTTTCTTTTTTTTTTTAAATACTGAAAGCTCCTGTCCTAATGGCTCCCCCGTGTGAATCCCAACAACTTGTGTTTTGTTGCATTTGGGTGGTTGGTTTTTTTTTTTTTTTTTTTTTTTTTTTCCCAGAGACTTCAAACTTTATTCATACTTATAAGCACAAAAATAACAGCCAAGCGCCGGTCTAGTCAACAATCTTTCAACACTGCAGTGAAGAATGGAAATATGGAACCGTGAAACTCTCAGAGCACTGCTTGGTTCCACCTTGGCAGGGTGGGGAAAGGACACAGCGAAAACATGCGCAGGCCTTCAAGTTATAAGATCTTTGGAATCGGATCCAATCCAAGGGCAGATGATCAGAATCCCTGTAAGAGCAAATCACTACCTGACCACCAATGTGTTAGACTTAACTGGTCTTCAGTAGTTCCGGCAAATATTCATGTCCATGGCTCTATACAGCTTAGTTAGCCGAGCTTTAAGGTAGGAATATTCATGGGTGATGGAGGGCATAGTTGGTAGAGAGTGGAACTCTGGAATGCTAGTCCTGCTTGTGACACACATTTCTTTGGCAGATCGGTCTTAAGAGTTTCTGAATTCAAGGCCTTACGCCTATAATTTAAAAGGTCTCCTGTAATTTTGGCTCCCAACTTGAGGCGGGTTGGGGTCTGATTTTTCACAGGTGCCAAGGTTCTGGAGTTTGAAGGCTCAGTCCCACTGAAAATCAGGCTCTTGGTGTTGCAAACGGAGCACCCAGAATTAATAGGCTAGCTCTCTGCCTCAGTTTCCCCCGCGTGTAACTACATTCCTACCTCCCAGGGCTGTTGTGAGGATTAGCGTTCTGCAAATTGCTGTTTGTGATATGTAACAGGACTATTAGAAGGGATGGATTTACCCAGCGGCCTTGATGCTTCTTTAGGTGCACAGTGAAAGTTACAACGCAGCCATCAGCAACTCCATGGGCGTACTTAGAGAGACATGTTAATGGACGAGATCTTCAGTGGTGGTCTTCAGGTGCCTCGATTTTCAAAAAGTGTGGTGCACCACTGAAAAACCAGCCTTCCTAAGGTCTCGTGGTGTGCCTCCAAAAACCCACATCACTTTTCAGCCTGTGGCCTTCAAACCTGTCTGGGAGAGTTGTCTGTGAAGAGATCAGGCCTGTAAGAAGTGGTACATAGCCCTACAGTTACGGAATTTTTGTTTTACAGATGCCAGCGGGGCACAAACACAAACATGCATGGGGTTTTGGTTTTTGCTTTTGCTTTTAAGATCGAGAGCGAATTTAAAAGAGCTTTCCACTACATGTCTGCAAGACTGTCCTAACGCTGTGGAAACAGACAGAGGCCCTGGAGACAGATTGCTAAAGGTGAACTGCCTAGCAATGATTCAGCATCACCGCACAAACATGTCTGCAGAACTGCAGTTACTGCCTCTTTCTGACTGAGGTGTCTTCCAGGTGGGAGTGTTGGTCTTCAAAGAAAGCATACTGAGATATGATTGAATGAAGTGTGACCCTGCCAGCAGAAACTGGTCACACCCAAGGTCACTGGAGATAGTCTTAGCTGTTCTCTGAGGGGGCAGAAGGTGTAAGGCACATGGCGCCGGCTGTGACGATTCCAAGGGGAATAAGAGGGCTTTGGCAGCTCTAAGTTTGCAAATTTTCTTCAAAGTGTTCATCTCTGGATCTCTTCCCTACATCCACCCTTGACTCTAGTCCCCTGGCACAAGAGCAAGCAGATGATTTGCCTTTCGTCTATGGGGCGCAGTGCTCTCCTTTACCCCGGCTTACAGGGAATCTGCCCAAGTCACCTCTTCACTGGATTGATTCCCGTGGAGTTCAGTGCCATGACTTTTGATTTATGACTGTGAGCAGGAGAGCCGGTTCCTGGGAGCTGCCCAGGTGTCAGCTGGCAGAGCATTCGGTCCATAGCTGTCCAAAGGAAGAGAGCTGCCCTAAGGGGGAAGGGTTAAATCTTGGAACAGCAAAGAAATCCGTGGCACCTCATCGGATATGCCTCTGTGTCGCTACAGCTGTACTTCAGGCTTCCGGTCAAGGAGGAGGGTAGTCTGTTATTGCTACCATGGACAAGAGCTGCTGTGGTGAATAACAGTAAAAGCATCAGGGTGGTCTACCAAATGGCTTGGATTGAGAGCACGACTCCTGAGGAGTACCCGAGTTCTGTGGAGCTTGCTAGCCTCTCCTTTCAACAGCCTTGTTTTGTGAAGGGCCAGACGGCTTGAGGATCCTGGTACGGAGCTGCTCAAATTCTAGGCTCCTCCTGCAAATTCTGCCAGCTGTTTGGTGAGTGTCTGCCCCAGTGACACATGCTGCTGATGGTCTTTCCGGCTAGGCCTGTGTTTGGATGCGCTATGACAATTGGATTCCCCTCTGGAACAGAGTGAAAGACCCTAGCTTGGCTGCATATTGTAGGAAGCTTGCCCTGCTGCAGTCCCTGTCGGGGGGAAGATGTTCTCCAACAGTCTGGTGCCTTTTATCAGCATTACATTTGCCCCTAATTTAGGAAAAATAGCCTGGATCAGGAACTCTCAGTTGACGGAGGCACTTTTTCGCTGTCCCAACATGCTTGTGGGTTAGTAAATTGCAACCACACCCCTTTGAGTATCATGGCTTCGCTATACACATGCACACTCTAGTCAAAGGTGTTTTTGCTTGATGTGCTAGACTCTCTTTTGCCAGCTTATGAAAGGTTTTAGGCCTAGTTTGCATTGAAAGCAGAAGATATTCTGGATGAAGCTGCAAAAGCTGACGCACAAGATAAATTGATTCTTCTGCAGAAAACTAGTCCAGGCTTTTTCACTGATTTCTTCCCTCCTCCCCGCGCTGCTTTCTGTGGTATTTTATAAACAAACTGCAGGTGCCGATTCAGTTTTCCCCAAACCTGAAACTAAAACTTTTGTGCTAGCCGGAGGGAGAGTGTCTTTCGAACTGCCAAACCCATTTGTTGCCATGGAACATTTGTCGAAATGGGGGTGCTGGGGGGATGGTTCGCCCTGAAGTGGAGTCTGTTTGAACAGTGACAGTCTCTGCATTTTTTATTTTTATTTTTTTTAGTCCTGTTTGTACATTGGAAAGCTAGAAATTTACATAAAAGAAAATTTAGCTGAGGCTCTGAAAGCCTGATGCAAAAGCATCTTGCTTGCCATCTAGCATTCCTACAGTCAGGTTCCAGTCAGATGAACATGCCTTCCTCTCTTAGCTCAGTGGAAATTCAGAGTGCCTCCATAAAGCCAGAGTACTATTGATGGCAATACTGGATTTACACTAGTTGAAATGAAGGCAGAACCTCGCCTAGAATTAGTGGCATTTCACACAACAGTGTAGGAAACGCGCAATGTTGATACCCCTCTGATACAATTTTGTTGCAAAATGCACATCTATTTTTTGCAAACTTTCAAAATACTTTAAATGCTAGGAGCAACCTGATCTCAATCACACAGGTGCCGATCTGACCTGGACTCCACAAAAGTCTCTCCAGATATACCCAATGGATAAAAATCAAATCTCACTCTGTGGGCTTTTAAAAATATTCAGTTAGGCTAAATCATATTATAAACCTCATCAAATGGATTTCTGTATTAGATTATTGTAACTGGAAAAACATTTAAGTCCAGTTCATGTTTCACTATTTATGCAGTCTTGATTACTTTGTATGTTTCTCTCCACACTGAAAATAGACCATTGTTCCCCCTTTTGATCTGTAATCCGTTTTAGGTTTATGTTCACCACCACAAGTGGATGCTGAAAATAGACCATTGTTCCCCATTTTGATCTCTAATCAGTTTTAGGTTTATGTTCACCACCACAAGTGGAATGCTGCAGTGTTTTGCAACCCAAATATGGCAGGGCAATATAATGTTTGTGTGGTGGTTTTTGTGTGTTGTTTTCAATGTTTTCAATTTTATTTTCTAGCTATGCATGAATCTTGGTTTATCAAAGCTTGTTTTTAAACCAAACCTGGATTCTGCACCCCAGTTTGACCTGCCAGCACACCACTGATTGAAAATTATCCCCTTCCTACCAAACTCTCCGGAACCTAGTAACAATGCAAAACCCTTTCTAACCATGTTATGCATGTCTGTTTGCACTGAGAAACAAATGACCAATGTTTCTACAGTCTTTAATTGAGACAAATTTCCCACTGAGGTTAACAAGCACCATGCTCTTACTGGAGTCAAGGGCCAAATGGAATGTGCTCATTTTAAGGTCCACATTCTCCTCCTTTGAAATCAATGGGAGGAAGGGGGGAGGGGGTCCATTGTTTCCCCTGGGAACAAGCTTTAGCATTAAAAGCCTGAAGCTATGAGAGGGGTACACAGGAGGGGCCTGATTCTCTGTTGTCCTGCATGTTGTGTATTTATTTACAAGAGTACAAATGTTGCCAAACAGAGCAGCAGTGACCTATGTATGCTTTGCTCTGGTGTAAATGACTGTACATAGTGCAGAATGACGGAGAATGATGTTATTGTGTCCTATGTGAGGAGGAGGCAGCAAGGAATCCTTTACTTACACATTTATTTATCCTCAAGAGTTTCCCAAGGAGTAGAGGAAATTGCAAGAGAGAGATCTGGAAGGTCTTGAGCCAGAGACCACAATTCCTATGGATAAAATAATCCAACCAACCATCTCAACCAATGTTCTAGAAGTCTGATGGCTTTTGCTGCTCTGCCACATACTTCCTTTGCTGGAACAGTTCTGGCAAAGACAATGTCTCTTACTTTCTCACTTTTTAGGAGAACTGGGTCCTGGACCTCCATTACTAGAACACCCCAAATTCCCACGGAACTTTGGAGTGTGCAAGTAATGGAGGATGTGTGGATTTTTGTTTTGTTTTTTGTCACAAACAAAACATGACAAGATGGCTAAGGAGGAAGAAATTTGCTCAGAAGCTTTGCCAAATGAACATGCTGAACTATCATGTATTTTAAAAAGCTTGACTATTGGCAGAGGAAGAAAAAGCACAGGACTTATCAAAAGAATCTGGCTCAGTTTTCCAATAACTTGATTTTTTTAATAAGTATTTTGATGTAAAATTCTAGCTCCTGCACAAACTATGGATTTCACAGCTGGACTGTTGAAAACAATCACGCTGATAGAATAGCTGGGCTATTCTGATGTTAGTAGCTAGAAATAGTTTTTTTAAACCAAGAAATGCATTGCATATAAAAAGGTATCACTCTACCAAAGACGTTTAGCACTGGGAAGCCATAGCAATAGCTATTCGGTGGATCCCTCTTACAATAAATCCAAATACACTGAAATGTATTTATCCTAATATCTGCTGTACTGAGGCACTGTTGTAGAGAATTTACAATGATGTTCTGCTGTGCAAAAAGGTTTTATGGGGGTTGGGGAGTGTTTGTGGAACAGTTGTACAGAAATATCCTTCTTTCTCTTTTACACACCTTAACTTTTCCTACAAAGTATGTGTTTGAAAATAAAAATTAAAAGATGTCTGTTTGTATTGACAGTCCTGTTTTGTGAAGTCGAAGGTTGAAATGCCCTTCTGTCTCACCCCCCCCCTCACCCTTTATAAATAAACTCTAACTCTGTTCCATAATCTTCAGTTGCTACTATGAAATATTTATACAGAACATAAGATGCCCAAGTGTATGAAAAAGGTGGCATTCTCATTCATAAAAGATTCATCGTGCTTCCCCGCATTTTACCCAATGCAGACAGATCCACAAACAAATTTGTCTGGTAAATCTAAATTAAATCAAGGACTGTGCTTAGGGCTGTCATAGCCTTCGTAGAAGGAATAAAAGCTATAATCGGGAGAATGCTAAACAGAGTTGTCTTCTAGACCAGAGCAAATACAGTAGTACCTGAACAAAATGTTACAGGTGTTTTCAAAAATACAACTCAACATTTGACTTAATATAGCTTTGAAACTCATTTTTAGTAGTTTACATGTAACACAATACAGTACTATATTTGCTGCTTCTCTGTTGCTTCCTGATTGCATACTTCCAGTTCCAAATGAGGTGACTGCTCTGTTTGTAACTCTGGTGTTTATAACTCTTGAGGTTAAACTGTATAAAGATCTTGAAGAGTACCCCTCTGGTCATTGCCTGGGATTAGTTTAATAGTGGAACCCATTAATACTATAAAACTAGAATTTCTATCAACAAAAAGGTTCAAAGCCCTGTCCCAGAGTAGCAGCCCAGCTGTACCTAAGTGACTTGTTCCAATAGGCTGTGTCTACACTGGCATGAATTTCCGGAAATGCTTAGAACAGAATAGTTTTTGTTATAAGTATTTCCGGAAAAAAAGCGTCTACATTGGCAGGCTGCTTTTCTGGAAAAGCCCTTTTTCCGGAAAAGCATCTGTGGCCAATGTAGATGCACTTTTCCGGAAAAGAGCCCAGATCGTCATTTTCGCGATCGGGGCTTTTTTCCGGAAAAGACTACTGGGCTGTCTACACTGGCCCTTTTCCGGAACAGTGTTCCGGAATAAGGACTTATGCCTGAGCGGGAGCAGCGTAGCTTTTCCGGAATAGCGGCTGATTTTGTACAGTAGAGTGTCGTTGCTTTTCCGGAAATTCAAGGGCCAGTGTAGACAGCTCGCAGCTTATTCCGGAAAAGCAGCTGATTTTCCAGAATAAGTGGCCCAGTGTAGACACAACCATAGTGAATTGCCCACAGTGTTAAAAATATGCAACTTATTTCTAGGCTGCTACAGAATGAGATTTCTTAAGATGATGAATCAGCACCATGCTGCTCCATTTCCTGCCTTGACTTTCTGCCTAAAGCAGTTGCATGAGACATATTTATTTAATCTGATTCTCTACCTACCTTATAAATGCCATAAAATAACCTCTAAACCTTTGGCTCATTTTGTTTTCTCCTTGGCCGTAAACATTTTCCTCTTTATCATACTAGCATCCACTTCCCCTTTTGGATTTTTGAAAGTTCTTATCAGTCAAAAAGTCCATATTCTCACGTAATGCTTTTTTTTAAAAACTGCTTTGAAAAATCTAATGCCGTTGGCTGTGAATTACTGGAGTTGATTTCTTCCTCACCTAACTGCATGCAGTTAATTGATTCCCTAAACTCTTGCTTACGCCAGCTAAAATCTTGAGTAAAATCAGGTGAAGTCTGAATTAGGCCCTTGATCCTTTAAGAGGGGTTATCACAAACTCAGAAGCAACCCTACCAAGCAACCCTCTTGGTTTCTGAGGACAGGACAAGGAGTAATGGGCTTAAAGTGCAGCAGGGGAGGTTTAGATTGGACATTAGGAAAAAATTCCTAACTGTCAGGGTGGTCAAATATTGGAGGGGGTGGAATCTCCCTCTCTGGAGATATTTAAGAACAGGTTAGATAGACATCTGTCAGGGATGGTGTAGACGGAGCTTGGTCCTGCCTTGAGGGCGGGGGGCTGGACTCGATGACCTCTCGAGGTCCCTTCCAGTCCTATTATTCTATGATTCTATGATTCTATAACAATATCGCTGGTGGTGCTTGTGTTGGGGCAATTGGCAAGTAACTCAACTGTGTTTAAGTAACAATCCTTTCTTTTTAAAGTTTTATAAAAGTTGAGAAGTCTATTAATAGTTATGTTCATTATAGGCAAATTCAATTTCATTTGGGCAGTGGAACAGGCTACCTGTGTCTAAAAGTGCTTTCATGATTACCTGCTGGAAATTTTGATCTCTAACAACGGGCTCCTTCAAAACCATAGAATCATAGAATACTAGGACTGGAAGGGTCCTCGAGAGGTCGTCGAGTCCAGTCCCCTGCCCTCATGGCAGGACCAAATACTGTCTAGACCATCCCTGATAGACATTTATCTAACCTACTCTTAAATATCTCCAGAGATGGGGATTCCACAACCTCCCTGGGCAATTTATTCCAGTGTTTGACTACTCTGACAGTTAGGAACTTCTTCCTGATGTCCAACCTAAGCCTCCCTTGCTGCAGTTTAAGCCCATTGCTTCTTGTTCTAGCCTCAGGCCAATTTTCTCTCTCCTCCTTATGACACCCTTTTAGATACCTGAAAACGGCTCTCATGTCCCCCCTCAGTCTTCTCTTTTCTAAACTAAACAAACCCAATTCTTTCAGCCTTCCTTCATAGGTCATGTTCTCTAGACCTTTAATCATTCTTGTTGCTCTTCTCTGGACCCCCTCCAATTTCTCCACATCTTTCTTGAAATGCGGTGCCTATGTTCACCTTTGTTCCACCTTAGCTACACTATCTGAGCACCTCACACTGTTTAATGTATCACAACACCCTTGGAGGTAGGTGACCCCTCCTCCCCCTGTAGAACTGAGGGACTGGAACACAGAGAGGCTAAGGGATGTGACCAAGTACATGGAATCTATGGCAAGGGTGGGATTTGAAACTTAGTCTTCTAAGTCCCAGCTTAGGACCCTACGCACTGCGCCATCTGAGTTCTCTGTTGGTGGGTGAAGAAAGCACCTTCCCTCTTTGCATGTCATCATGGGACTAAGGGGGGATATGATAGAGGTATATAAAATCATGAATGGTGTGGAGAAAGTGAATAAGGAAAAGTTATTTACTTGTTCCCATAATATAAGAACTAAGGGCCACCAAATGAAATTAATGTGCAGTAGGTTTAAAACAAAATGAAGTTATTCTTCACACAGTGCATAGTCAATCTGTGGAACTCCTTGCCTGAGGAGGTGATGAAGGCTAGGACTATAACAGGGTTTAAAAGAGAACTAGATAAATTCATGGAGGTTAAGTCAATTAATGGCTAGGTTAAGTAATGGTGGCCCTAGCCTGTTTGTCAGAGGGTGGAGATGGATGGCAGGAGAGAGAAAGCTTGATCATTACCTGTTCCATTTACTCCCTCTGGGGCACCTGGCATTGGCCACTGTCAGCAGACAGGGTATTGGGCTGAATGGACCTTTGGTCTGACCCAGTATGGCCATTCTTATGTTCTTATCATAGGTTCTCTCGTTCAAGGGTGCCTCAGAACAGGGGCTGAAATGACACTCTCCTTTAGAAACAACACACTTTCCTTAAAAAGCACAGGAGCAGAGACAGATTTGTAAAGAGCATTTACTATAAATTTCGTTGGCGGCACTAGTGATGCTACTGCCAATTGCTGATAATGGAAACAAGCTGGTTCACCTTGAATATGGAGTTCATCTTCAACTGTGCTCCTAGAGAAGAAAGCAAATCAACCAGCATTAACTCAGGGTGCTAAAGGACAAAACTCTGTATGTTTTACGGTCATAAGATTACAAGAACGTGAATGACACTCTGGATTAGACCAGTGGCCAATCTAGCACACACAGTATCCTGTCTTCTGACAGTGCTGGTGCCAAATGTTTCAGAGACAATGAACAGACGAGGGCAACTTTGAGTGATCCACTCCTTGCTGTTGCATGCCAGCTTGTGGCAGATGGATGTTTAGGGACATGTGGAGCATGGGGTTTCATCCCTGACCATAACTAAATTCTTGGAGGATAGGTGCATCTATGGTTAATTATTTTTAGAACCAAGTTATGCTTTTGCCAACCCCTGACACCAATATTTAATTCACAAAATCATCTCTGCCCATCACAGATGCATGTTCATATAAAAAATATTGAAAGACTTGAGTCTCATTTAACTAAGGTCTCTTTGTACCCCTCTGGTAGTGTGAATGTGCTTTAAAGGGGTTGTAAATGCCACTTCTTTAAGGCCCCTTTATGTTGCCAGCAGGACTGCAGTGTAAATGTAAATCAAGCCCCAAGTGTGTGGTCATATCCACACCATCTGGTGTCCCTTTCACATTACACAATAACAATATTAGATTATATCCTCCCTAAATAGCTTCAAGTTTGCATGCCTACAACTGCCCAGGAGGTGGAACACAGACATACATGACCAAGGGCAGCAAATTTGAAGAGTGTTAATAAAAAAAAAATTGTTCCGAGATTTTGTAATGGCCAAATTCATACACTTAAAAATAAATATTTAGACCCTGATCCTGCAAACATTCATGCTGATAGTACCATTAAACAAAAGCATAGTGCTTTTAGGATCAGCCATGTAGCATCTCAGAAATGCAACTTGCAGAAATGTACACCCATTACAAGTAGCTTCAATAATTGGTGGTGAAAACTAGGAATAGTAAGGCAACTGAAGACTGATTAACCCCCTTCAATCTAGCACATTACTATTAACAGCTCCAAGAATATTGATTCCACCAATTGCTTGTACAGAATGTGATGACAGTTATTCTAGAAAAGCAGGTCTGGTGATCTGTCTGGTTAAAGTGATTGAATCCCACCATTGGACCTGCTACACATTCTTGTTTGTCTTTTCCCCTCTATTTTAAGTGTGTCGCAGTAATTCTGTAGAATAGTAATAGAGCTGTAGCCATGTTAGTCTGGTCTTGCTGAAACAAAAGACAGGACTATGCAGCACTTTAGAGACTAACAAGATGGTTTATTAGGTGATGAGCTTTCATGGGCCAGACCCACTTCCTGTGTCATTGGTTCAGCACCTCTTGCTTGGAAGTGCTTGTGTAACATGCTGGCAAGATCAACAAGTCATACCTCCCTCTAGTGGACAATTCCCTAGAGCAGTGTTTCTCAACCAGTGGTATGAGTACCCTTAGGAGTACGCGAGAGAAGTCGGGGGGGGGGGGGGGGGGGGGGCAAACCAAAGAAAATTGTTTTAAGTTTTACAGCGCTTTATTATTTTTGTACTTTTTACACCCAAAAATTTCATCGCCGCCCAGCTATGATTAAGTTATTTAAACAAATGCCTTGCAATGGTAGAAAAAATATTGTGTGTCTGAAAACTGTAGGTACTGGGGGTACTTATAGGTTTGTTTGTTTGTTGAAAAAGGGTACTTCATAAAAAAGGTTGAGAAACACTGCCCTAGAGCATAACAGTCGCCTACTGCTACTAGCTAATGGGTTATCTCCTACAGATCTATGCTGAAGTGCTAATGACCCATGGGGGGGAGTAGGGTCATTTACACTTAGAATATAAAATATTCAGAGATGACCGGCTGCACTGGAAAACTCAAAGGTGGAAATATTTTAGTAGGTTGATTAAAAGATGCTTTCTCTAATGCCCGTGCCACGGAGAACAACAGAATTCAAAATGTCTGCCCTTAAAGGGGCAAGTGACCTTTTTTTTTTTTTTTTGCTCAATAACTTCCCCTCAACCCTTTTTCCCCTGACTTTTTGTTTTTCTCAACAAAAAGTCCTTTTTAAAAAAAAAATATTGTTTGGTGTTCCTTGGTCTTATAAAGTTTAAGAAACACTATCCTAGACTCTGAGGCTGTGCACGCCCAGACTGCCAGCACATTTTCCCAGGATATCCTGCCCACGCTTCCCTGCATCCCCAGACCATGCAGCCTGGATAGCTGGTCCATGGCCCTCCATTCCACACCTGTCTGGTGGGCATGTAGCAGCACCCGCCCATCCTCACCTCCTTGAGCTGGGAGAAGGCCTTTTTGATGCTCTTCCATAGCCCTCTGAGTTCCGTCCGCACCCGTCTCCAGAAGTGCTGCGCCTGGAAATACCGGGCTCGCCGGATGTCCCTGACAGCACATAGGTAGGGGCTGGGGGCATCGCAGATCACTGTGGCGTGGTCGCACTCGTGGTGCTTGCGGCTGCACTTGCAGTGGCGGTAGCTGCAGGCTGTGCGCTGGAAGCGCATGGCGTTGTAGTCGTCTGGGTTCAGCTGCAGGCCAGGCACCGTGTAGGTGATGTCCCGCACCCGGGACATGCTGCCCATCTTACAATTGCAATACCACTTGCTCCACGCCAGCCACTTGTAGTGAGGGTCTCCCACCATGATCACTTCTCCAGTGCCCGTGGTTCTGCCCAGGACATTGTTGCTGGTGGTGGCTTCATGTCCTCTGTGGCTGCTGGTGGTGATCTCCGACCCTCCACCGTCGCTTGTGGTGACAACGTATACCTCCCCATTGCCCGAGGCGCCCACGTGGTGGCTTGCCTCCGCCAGGTTGTGCCCACCAACTTCAGGCATGGTGGCCCTAGCCAAGGCGTCGACGAGCGTAGCCATGACTCTCGGGACGGTCGTGCCGCTGATCACGGTGGAAGATACGGTGCTGGTCGCTTGGGGCTGGTCGGTGGGTTCGTCACGCCCCTCTGGCCCTAGGTCCAGGGCTAGG